TCACGCAACTCTTCCGCTGATTTGAACAAGTTCTTCAAAACAGAGATTGGTGTTCTGAATAATGTTGGGCCTCCAGGTGTGTGATTTTTTTTTTTTTTTTTTTTTTTTTTATGTATTTGTTTGTTTGTTTTGTTTTGTGTTACTTTAAATGGGGAGAAGGAGTAACAATTCACTGATGATTAAAGAAGACGTAGTGCCCAACTCATTGAAGGTGTATTTACATGCAACAGCTTTCATTCCCGTCTCTTTTGCAAGCCTGTTTCTTTCCATAGGAGCCCTTTGTACCTGTTGATATTTTATGCTGTATATTGCAGACAGTTTGGTAGAAAGATGCTCATACCCAGATAGTATATATTCCTCTGAATAGCAGCAATAGTTGTTTGTGGAATGAATCTTGTGGAAAGAAAATGTTAAATCAGCATATTTTTACCTCCCTCCCTCCATATCCTCCATGTTTTTCTGTTAGATATATATATATATATATATATATATATATATATATATATATATATATATATATATATATATATATATATATATACACACATATATATTCATATATTTATTTATTTATTTATTTATTTATTTATTTATTTATTTATTTATTTATAGATAGACATTTTTTATGATTTGATTATTATCACAGATTATTTTCCGTTATCAATGTAATAAGGTTTAGAATAGTATGTGTAAAGCATGTAATGTGATTGAATGTATTTCCAAAATTGCTATAAACCAAATTAGTTGGAATGAAAGCACATTTTTGATACAGTGTGATGAACCTTAATTCATTATATCTGTTAAATGTTTTTTTTAAGGCTAGATTCTCTAAATAGGATTAATTAAAACCATTGTAATAGTTTTAGCTCTGTAATGAATATCCAAGTATGTGAAAGTAAGGAGAGTTGATCATATAATTGCAGAAGGACTTTTAATCCTCAGGTTCAAGTTGGGTCGACCCGCTTCGCGTGCGGATGGTTAAGGCCCACCACAACTGGATCCTTGTTGCATATGCACACTTCGTCACTTGTTACAGGTGAGAAGATAGAAATGCATGCGTTTTTTAGACAAGTTGTATTTCCTTGTGAAACAGAGATCTCCCTCTTCATTGTCCCTAGTCTTAAGGTTTATATTAGCAGGAATTTATATATACTTATACAGACCTAAAGTCAATTATTGACTTTAAAAGTCAATAATTGACTCTGTTTTTATCCATCCCTCAAACTCTGTTAAGGTTATGATTGTGTAGATCTAGTAAGTTAATATAATGTGAAATATTATTAGGAAAGAGAAACGGGTTTCTTTACTGTGAACGTTTTGTAAATTCAGTATATTTTATGAGTATGTTTCTCAACTGTAGGTGCAAAACTATATAAATATGTTATATATTTAATTTTTTTAGATGTGTTTTTAGTCTGATTTTTGTATGTTGAGTACATTTTGTTTATTGTTTTCTTGTTACGGACTGATAATAAAAGATACTGATCCATATTAAAAAACTTTTTGTTGTCTTCCAAAATTGTTAATATCTATTAATAGAACTTCCAAAATCTTTTTCAATTTTATTTTTTTATGTATTAATTTTCTTATTACATGCCAACATTAAAGTGCTGTCAATCGCTGGTGAGTGTGTGTACAAATAGCAGTTTCCCAATTTGTAAAAAAAAAAAAAAAAGAAGAAGAAAAAAAAGTAGGAATTTTCATGTGACAATTTTTTTGTCTTTTTTTCCTTTTATTTCATGCATATGAGGATTATTACAAAACCAAAAAAAAAAAAAAAAATAATGTATGAAATATATCCCTGAGCCATTGATCTGGATTGAGCTAATGTTTTCCCGGATTCCAGGAACAAAGATAGCACAGGCTGGCAGCTAGCCTTCACATCCCCACACATTGACCAGCTGATTGAGCGTGCGGCTTTAAATGCGAAGCTGTCTCCTCCCAGCCAAGGGGGCGAGGCGGGCCAGAAAATGCTGGCCATTTCCTACACTTCACACATAAGGCTGTGGGGCATCTCAGAGGATGGGACGCGGAATGACATCGGTGAGTTTTTTATGGTTGGCTTTTGTTTATTTGCGGTTGTATTTCATTAGTTCCTGTATGGAATTTTGGAATGTAAGCTATAGCTTTTGAGTGATCAAGCAATTATAAAACCTTTTTTCACTGGTATTTCAGTTCTTGATTACCCATTAATAAGTTATGTGATTATGTGATTCCCTTCATTCTTGGCTTTGGATTACACTAAAACATGACTTTAACTTTAACCTAACTTAATAAAAAAATAAAAAAAAACAAAAAATTACCTGTTTATTGAGATGATGTGGGTGGAGTGAGTCAGTCATCTGTATCAGAGTCCAAATCAGAGTCTAAGTCAAGTACTGGAACTTGAGGTGGAGTTCAGTTGGATTCCATACTTTGATTATAACTGTATGTTAGGTTACATAAGGATAGGTGCAATATATAGCTAAGAATAAGCTAAATCAGACTGGAAACGCTTAGATATCTGTTTCCCAACAAACAGATTCTTCTGTTTTTTTGTAATAACTAGTAAATATCTGATTTTTATGGAAATGGTCCAGAAGAGTAGTTCTTAGACTTTTTTGATCTGTCGAGTGGTTCAGTCTTTATTTCTGAATGCCTTATAGGCACAAAAATAAAATTTTAATGTTATTTTATTTATAGTTTTTGCTTAGTCTTCATTGATTTCCATTTTTTTATACACATAGACACCTAACTTAGTTTGCAGAATGAGGATTGAGACAATGATGTTTTGCTCTTTTTAGAAGCTAATTCTTTTTGTTGAAGCTTTTTGTATAGCTGGAAGGGACATATGGTAATACATTGGAAGGTTCATGTCACTATGTAAGCCACACCAATTGTATTAGCATAGATTGATGGTATTTTATATATTTTTTTAGATTGTTTATCCTGTAATTTCATTGGTATACTTCATGATGTTCCCAGTTATGGGGGCTATTATCATCTCTACAGATAGTTTCTGTAAAATAAAACTAACACCAATGTTCAGAAGCAGTACAATGGTACCAACAGTGTGATCCTGCCCTGAAAAAATCCCTAAATATTGTATAATATTGGTAATTGTGGTTTAAGAAAGTCTTAATTGATAGTTGGTAATGATTTGGAAAAAGAAGAGAGAAGCAATAGGATTATTACAAAATTTTATTTCACAAAGAAAACCCACATAAAAAATGACTTGTTAATGGAAATGATGCAAAAATGATGCAAGGTAAATCTAATCACCTTCCAAGAGTTTTGTGCATTCATGGCAAATCTTTCTGTCACTCTGGCTTTCAGCCGAAATGCTTAGGACGGCAAATTTGTGTCACCTATGAAGGCATTTTCGTGTCACCTGCCCCTCAAGCCATATTTTTTCATGGTGTAATGGTCACGTCTTCTGGATAGGTGGGGTTAATAATTTGCAAGACCACATAGCAAAGTTCTGTTAGTCCTGTCCAAATGGGTATATATCCCTTGTAGCTATATCAAATAACTGAACATAGAGAGAAGGCTCGTTACCCCTGTGACTGATATTGCAAACTTTAAACAAAAGGAATACTCAGTGAGGAGGTAATAGTAATGGTAATCTCCTTTAATTATTACTTAGAATATCCCACTCCCTTCCTACAGGCACATTCAACCTGGGAGTACCAGTGGAGTATCTGTTCTTCATTGGGTCGCAGCTGGTGGCTCTGTCCTCAGTGGGGAAGATTGGGGTGTGGCATGCCATGACCCAGCACTGGCAGATCCAGGAGGTCCTGCCCATTGCCTCCTTCGACACAGCTGGTTCCTTCCTCCTCCTAGGATGCACTAATGGATCAATCTATTATATAGGTACAGAAATGTTTTTATGATATTAACCCTATAATGATGGAGCTTTTTGGACGGTGAGTCCACTACTTATAGTAGAATTTCCTGCTTGATTTGCTTTAGTGAGTCCTAACACCTATAGCCATACTTGTCATGATGAGTTGGTGTGTCTGGCTATCAGAGGTTAAGGCATGTGGAAGTAGGTAATGTGGTCAGATATTGTGTCACATGTATTATAGTACTTCCTATTTCTCTCTCTCTCTCTCTCTCTCTCTCTCTCTCTCTCTCTCTCTCTCTCTCTCTCTCTCTCTCTCTCTCTCTCTCTCTCTCTCTCTCTCACTCTCTCTCACTCTCGCTCTCTCTCGCTATCTCTCTCACTCTCTCGCTTTTTCTTGACTCCTCCCCCTCCCCTTCCCTTCCTATGAAATATCATCTATCCCCAGACATGCAGAAGTTCCCACTGCGAATGAAGGACAATGACCTGCTAGTCACAGAACTCTACCATGACCCGTCCAATGATATTATCACAGCTATCTCAGTGTACCTCACTCCAAAGACAAGTAAGAACTCGGTCTAAATTTATAATAATCAAATATTTCTCAAAATTTCTTAGATAATTTGGGAGGGTAATGCAATGCTTGTGTATGTTGTATTTGTATTATGAATGCTGTTTTCCTTGATATAAAGTGAGGTCAGTTCAACACCACACCTCAACAGACGTGTGCGGGAATTGGATTGAAATCGCTTATGGAACAAGCTCCGGAACAGTGCGTGTGATTGTGCAGCATCCAGAGACAGTCGGCCATGGACCACAGCTATTCCAGACTTTCACTGTTCACAGGTTTCCTGTAACCAAGGTGTGTAATTCTGAATGTAAAAGTGCACTTTTAGGGAAAGTAGTTCTAATAAGATTTTATGTTGCTTTAGTCTGTATAATAGGAATGAATATTTTCACAAGATTTACTGTTAAAACATTTGGTTTATTGAAGTATTTTCACAGTATTTTATATCAGTATTATACATTATATGTAATAGACATTAGTAGACTGTACATATAATTCTCTGTTATAATTTTGTCATGCATTACAGGTCACTCTCTCGGAGAAGCTCCTTATTAGTGTTTGCAGTGAATACAACCATGTTCGCACTTGGTCAGTTACAAGGTTTAGGGGCATGATCTCTACTCAGCCTGGGTCAACGCCTCTCTCTTCTTATAAGATTCTTACAATTGATGAAGTAGATCCCAATATATATTATGCCATTGCTAATGATTGTGGTAAGTTTGTTTTGCTGTTAGTTTTTCCCAGATTTTAAGAATTTGACAGTAGTTTAGTTTCATTTGAATATTCATGTATTATGTAATTATTTTATTTGTATTATATATTTTTTTGTTTTTAACATCTGATATAGCCTTACAAGAGTATAATATTTTTCCAGGGCCTTATGGTGAGCAAGATGATGAACAAGTGTTTATCCAAAAGGTAGTCCCAGACACTGACCAGCTCTTTGTTCGCCTAGCAAGCAATGGGAAAAGGTAAGGCGTGTTGCATTCATCATAAAATTGATTGCTTTTAATTTTATCCAACTTTTTCTATTTTTTAAAGTGTTATGCTTGTGTAAACCGACTTCATTCGCCTCTTACACATTAGATTGACTGTGTTAGTGTGTCATTTTTGACTGTGAAATTACTTTTAATTGGTAGAAAATTCATTTCTGGCTTTAAGACAAGAATACAGATCAAAGGAGAGAAAATGTCTTTGATGTGCAATTGAGCTTTTTTAAGGGGCTGTCCCATGGTGCATTGAAGGTGGCCAAAATGTTAGACGAGCTGTGTTTGGGTTGCACATTATCATAGTTTTACATGAATTTTTTGTCATCCCCTTAAGGGGCTGAATGAAAAATATATATCTTGTACCTTTCTAGTTCAAGGAGACCTAAAAAAATATCTTTGTAATTTTTTTTTTTTTTTTAATTTATATGCACAAAAAAACAAAAAAAAAAAAAAAACAGCTATGAATATTTGTCTTTATTGCAGATGTCCTCAGTAAAGACATTTTGCATTCATTTAACCCCTTCATGACGGGTGACTCCGCTAGGCATGAAAACAAACCATTAGAAAAGTGGCATCTGGCTGTATGCCGCGGCTGCGAGCCAGTGATTCGGCCTGATGTACCAAACTCACACGCTCAGAGTCGGCGTGCTGCCATGGTTTGCCAGAGCGTAGAGCTTTTTTTTTGTTTTCTTCACCCGTCACCATTGGGTTAACTCTTTCAGGACTATAATAGTAGTATCATTAAAGATTTGCTGTTGTAGCAACACAGTAACCTGCATGTTTCTTTCCAGAGTATGTGTCATTAAGTCAGTGGACAACACAACCATTAGTGGCTTTTGTGTGCACGAGTGTGAGGGAAGCAGCCGAATGGGCTCTAGGCCTCGCAGATACATATTCACAGGCCATTCAAATGGGGCAATACAGATGTGGGACCTGACCACCGCTTTGGAGCTGTGCAATAAAGGTAGTGATGCAGGTAGGGTTTCTCTTATTATTATGATTGGCAATTACTGATAATTCTTGCATTTCCCTTATCTTGATGTTCTTCTTAGCCAGTTATTCAAATTCTTGGTCTTCATCATTTTCTTTTTTTTTTCCTTATATTTTGCTTATCATTGAATTTCTTTTTCTTTCTGTTTCTCTTGCTTTCCTTCCTTATTTCCTTCCTCATTTCCTTCCTTCCTTCCTTCCTTCTTCCTTTTCTTCCTTCCTTCCTCCTTTCCTTCCTTCCTTCCTTCCTTCCTTCCTTCCTTCCTTATTCCTTTTCCTTCCTTCTTTGTTTTCTTCTTCATCTCCTTCCTCATCCTCATCCTCAAAATCTTCATCTTCTTTTCCAACTTTTTTTTCAGTTTCCTCTTCTTGTTCAATTATTTTTCCTCTTCAATTTTTTTTTTTTGTTTTCTTCTTCACATCATCTTCTTAATCTCCTCCTCCTCCTCCTCCTCCTCCTCCTCCTCCTCCTCCTCCTCCTCCTCTGCCTCCTCCTCCCTCTGCCTCCTCCTCCCTCTGCCTCCTCCCACCTCTGCCTCCTTCCCCCTCTGCCTTTTCTTCTTCTTCTTCTTCTTCTTCGGTCTTCATCTCCTCTTCCTTCTTCCTTCTGCTTGCCTCTCTCCTCCTTCTTCTCCTTCCTTCTCCTTCTTTTTTCTTTCTTCTTTGTTCTTCTGCATTGTTCTTTTTCTCTTCAGAAATATATATAATACCAATGTTTAATTACAGGCTTGGGCATCAATGGAGGCCCTGAACCTTCTGAGCTTCTCCGCCTCCTGGATGTGTGTGACCTGAGTAATTCCTCATGCACAACGCCGTGTCTTTCCCCCTCACCCCTCACCCCAGCCAATGCCCCTCCCCCCCACCAGCGCCCATACCCCAACACCGGCCACCTCCACCACACCTCTGGCCCCTCCCACCTACAGCAGCCCAGTGCAAGCTATCTAGCAAGCCCCTCAACGAGCAGCAGTCCCCAGCCACACCAGGGCCCCCTCCTCAAGCCAGCCAACGTTGCATTCCTCTCCCATAGCCAGAGCACATCAACCCGGGGAAATCAGGCCAACTCCTCCAATGAAGACGAGGATGAGGGCACGGCTTGTTGATGGTTCAAGACCGATATTGTGGCGATTGTGGCCGAGAAGATCAGTACGTGAGTGTTTTACCAAGAGGCAGTGAGAGTGCCTTGTGTGGTAAGGGTGGAATTCACTATGTGGGGAGCCATGGTGTATATATCCATTGATGGGGATTCGTACTTGTGTGGCTGATTTTCCAATGTATTCTCTTCATTGGAGTGGAGGGCAGTTTGTGAAGCAGTGTTTAGTATCTATTAACCCATTAAGGAAATTGTGACTAGACAAGAGCTAAAAGGATGAGTGTAAGACAAGACCATTTTTTTTTTTTATATTTGGGAAATATGGGTTTTCAGCTGAGGCTTCAGAGTCACAGTAATTACAAATGGTCATATTTTTGTTTCATTTCAAAGCAGTAATAGACAGACGGTGCATATGCTTCAGAAATTATTTAGTGACATTTTACTATTTCCATTAATTATGCATCCAAAAGAAATTAGATAATGAATCATTAGTCATAATGAATGAAATCATGGTCACAAAGCAGCATGTTCTCTTAGTAATCAGTCCAAGGCCACACCTTTTAATTTAGAGAATGTTTCAAAATAGGTATCAACTGTTTTTCTTTTTTTTTATATGATTCATACCAATTTTTACAAACTTAAAAATGCTATGAAATATTCTCAAGCAGGGGAGGTTGTACAGTCAAGCAAATAAGTGACTAAGCAAAATTCAGAAACTTTTAGACAGCACAGGGGTGTCTGGCAACTTGAATCATTCAAGAATAAATAAGTAAATGGTATAACAGAATTGCTTATTAATTTTAAAAGCACATGTACCATTTTAATGGTATGAAAGTGGGGTTCTATTTCCAATGATTTTAGGTTGCCATATTTTTCTTCATGTTATTATTAGCTTTGTTTTAATATTGTATTGTTTTTTTATTTTTTCCCCAATATAACTAAGCTTTCCCATGCTTTTATCATCACTTATCAGGAAATTTTAGAAGATGGTCTGAATAATTAATTCAGACATATTGTTAACTCTGTCTGCTTATATGCAGTTTATGAATATTGCAAATTTAGTATTGATGCACACTGAAAAATCATGTATCAAAATGAAGGACACAAATCTAGCCATCCACAAAAAAATCTGAATTATCCATATAGATAATCAGGTGTTCCATGATATTTTGTAGATACTCATCCAAAATCAGGTTGCATTCACTGATTGAAGTATAACAGTTGACATATTAAGCATGAATAGATAATTATATAGTCATATTTTTCATGATAAATTTCTCTTTATAGTGTTGTAGGAAAATGTGCAATGAAATAAAATTGCTAGATGATACTTCTTTTGAATGAAAATCATTGTAAATCATACAGTCACTTATTTGGCCAACTGTACATTTAAGTATTAGAATGTTTGATAATTCACAAATAGCTTTATATATATCACTGGTGAATATTCAGAACTTTGAAGATGCACTGCAAATACTAAGCACAGGCATCAAACTGACTATTTACTGTAAACTACTCATAACTTACATAATCATGTGAATGTTTTACAGTACCAGTACTTGTAGTCATTACAATGATCATCATTTTTTAATGATTATAAGCCAGATATTTAGATAGATGTACTGGGCTACTCATTAATTTATTAATTTCCAGATATCTGGACCTTTTATACACATTTTTATTTACTATTTAGGGAAATAGCAAAATGCATTGGGTGTTGGTTCATTTGTCACAGAGGCATTAATGATGCAGGGAAATGCACATGGGTCATTATGTAGCATAGATAGACCCACTGTCAGTTACAAACCAATATTAAATCAAATCCGTCTAGTATATAGCCGTAGCCCGCAGCCTTCAAAAGTATAAATGAACATTCAAAAGTTCAATCACCCTTGAGATTCTTTACAAAGAGAATGAATGTGTTAGATAAGTGTATTTCTTTGTAATTGTGTATTCATGTGATATACATATACTGTATATCTGCAGTATATATGCACAAGAGTAAATGCCAAATTATATGATTACATGTACAAGAATATGATATCTGCAAACATGATGGAAGTTGCATTTCCTCTGTTTGTATGTCGGCCAATGAGAATTTAGCATGTGTTAATGGTATATAGTCCTTTGAACTCCACTTTTCCAAGCCAAAGGAACAAGCACATGCCACAATTCCGAGTGCAAAGAGAGACAAGACAAAAACTGTTCAGATGTTTGAAAGGAGAATTCCAAGTACAGTATTTTAGTGGTTCACATATTATTTAACAGGGATATGTAGACCTCCCTTATAACACTCAAAAAGGCAAATAGTAATGTCTGTCAGGTTCACCTTTATGTGAAAGATTCATTTTTTATATTCAAGCTGGTATAGTCTTGCACAGCTGTCAAGTGCCAAATGTTAGAGTGCTTATGCTTGATAGACAGTAGTTTGGCGCATATAGTTAGATACTTGTAGGAAAAGAGGCATTTACCCATCAGAGTTGTGATTTTAAGCTGCAGTAAGTGAAAGAATGTTATCCATTCCTGGTTCTGCCTTTCAGTTGTAAGAAAATTAAGGGTAACGTTGTTGCCGCTCTTGAAAGTTAGTTTCTTCCTGTTTCATGCATGAGGAGATTATGACTTTCACTCTGAACTCCTGATTGTTCCATAGTATTTCTATCCATGGAGGTGCAGAAATCATTTAGGGAAATGAAAGTGGGAAGAAAGAGAGAAGAGAAGCATACATATACACTTATATGACAAGGTCGCACACTTGTAATTTATTGATTTTGGGTAGTTTTATTTAAGCCAAATTATGTATTGTGCATTGAGATGTATATATTTACTATACACTTATACCACGATGATATACAGACAGTCTGTGATGTTGCAGCATTCAAATATAATGTCTGCTTCATTCTATGTAAAAAAGTATACATATATAAGGAAAAACAGAAGATATTACTACAAGGAATTTGGGTACTCCAGTCCAACAAATATATTATTTTTCCTTCATAAGTCTTCATATGCCAAAAGAACATTAAAGTTAGTTTAAAGAGAGAGAGAATAATTTGGAAATGTGTTTTGAAAGTCACCATATCAGAAATAAGTTTTTGAGGAAAATCGTATTGAAGTTTATCTGAAAAGCTCTCTCTAGATAGATCGGTGAAAAATGTAGGTAAGAAAAGTAGATGCATTTCCATGACAGTCTGGTGGGATGGCATTTTCACTTATCCTACACTGTGTATTTGTCTTTCATAAGGGCTATGTTGCTATGGCTTTAAGATTATACATAGTTGGGCATTTCTTCTTCCAATTTCAATGTCTATTCCATACTCTTGCCTTTTTCCCCAACTTTTTTTTTTCTCACCTGTAACTCTTTTTTTTTTTTTCTTATTGATTCTCTTGATCTCACTCTCTGGTATAAGAAAAATCAGAGATTAGGGCATGTGAGATACTGTATCACTATGACTATAAGTACTGTTGTAGTAACTAGAAAGAAGTCATTGTGAATTTTCCCACTTACCTGATATATGAAAATAATGTGCTGTGTAAATATTTCTCATTTTGAGGTATAATTTTTTTTCTTCTTCTCATTCTTTCTTTTATTTGTCCCATTATTTTAGTTTCGTAAAATAAATCTTACCTTAGATATTGCACTATATGGGAAATAAAAGATCATGGGTAGTCGTACATGATAATTGATATGCATAGCAGCATATGTCTGTAATACATGTCTCTTTGTAAGATATGTTTTGAATAATCATAATGTGGCAAGTGAATATTTGTTGAGGAACTACATGTGTTTTTCTATTATTATTGTAAGCTAAGAGGTGAAATCATTAAATGGTATAATTAATAGGTTATACTTATTTGAAGGTACACAAATATGTTTAAAAAGAAATACCAAAACAAAAACATGTAGTTTTAAGAAGGAATAGCTAATTTGGGAGTGGAAATTTTAAGGATGAAACCCAGTGATGAGACTTTAATGGAGTAAACTTGACATATTTGTCTTTCAGATATTTTAAGGCATGGTCAATGTTGTATTTATTACATGATGGAAGTTTTCTGTATATACATTTTCTTTTCTTCCTCTTGTTCAATTGTGCTTTCACAGAACTCCCTGTTTCCCTTCCCGTCTTCTTCCTCACTTTTCTAAATCTTTATTTTCTGAATACGGAAGTTTAACTGGGTATGCAAAAGAGAAGTGCAATAAATGTTTTATTTTTTAATTTAGGAGTTTAAATTTTGAGGTGACAGTGATACTAAAAGTTTAGGGTAGTTTGATGAAATATTTAAACCATATATATTTAGCAATTTTTTTTTTTTATTATTATTTTTTCATGATAAGTTTCATTTGGAAACTAGAATTGTGATTTATTTCAGTGAAATTTTTTCAGCATTTTCTTGTTAGCTTTAATGCAAGTTTATTTTGATATAATTCGGTAGCATTAACATGATCTCTTCTACATATTGTAAGACATATCACACTATATTTAGAATAGATAAGTTTTGTCTGGTCGTCTCATGTGTATTTTCAGTATTAATTTACATGTTGATAAGCATTTATTATATGCTGTTATACATTTATTCTTTTCTTTTTACTTCTCTTCAGTTAGCAGAGCTTTAAATGTTGAGCTATTTTTATTTGTTATTTTGTAAGTTAACAGCAAATGCTTTGTTTTTATATGAAACATTCTTTTACATAAGCTCAAAATATAGGGTTATTTTATTTAAGGTTCAATATATTTTTCTGTTTTAATAATCATTATGCATTTCCTTGGTATGAATGTAATCTTTATTCAGAACTTATTATAATAAATATTTTAATGGCATTTTTTTTTTTTTTACATATACGGATTACATGTAAAACAGGGTAATACATTTGTTAATTTCACAAGTGGAATAACTAAAGAAGCTTAAAAGGATAGGTTTTATGTTGTAGTATAAACTTCTTGTTATTTGTATAATTAATGAAAGGTTTTGTACTGTATATATATTTTTTCTTTGTTATAATGAGTAAAAAATTATTTCACTGGATATCTCGTGTTTGACTCACTCATACCTCAGAATGTCAGCGCAGAGTACTTTGTCTTTACGAGGAAATGGGTATCAACACTTCCTTCCACCCCCACCCCACCCACCACAAATCATTAGGTGAATAAAACTGCATTTCAGAAGATCTTTTTATATACAGACACTTATTATATACACACATTAGAATATTATTACAAGTTCAACCTATATACAAACTATTTCACAGTGCATGAAGAGAAACTGATATCATAAACAGTTAATACCTAAAAAATATTTAAATAACCTTACAAACTAATAAGCAGTTATTTTATTTTTCACTCAAGACTTTTTCTTCTCAATATGACATTTAAATTGTGACCTTTTAGAAAATATATTATTAAATATTAAATTACTTAATAAACGAATAAACAATTTTTTCACTAAAGACTTTAATAAAGGTTACAGTGTATATTGAATAGCTATATAAGAATTTGTGCTTGGATTTTATATAATTTGTTACTTTTTTCTAAGACACATAGAAGATTCCGTGTTTTTGTCTTGATAATTTGGTTAAATTACCAAATCCCATCCCCCCCCCCCCCAGAAAATAGGGGGTGGGAGGGAGGGAGAGAGAAAAAAAAGAATGAGGAGAGAGAGAAGGAAAAAAAAAAAAAAGTGTAAAGACAATATCAATTTAGATTACATTCAAGCACAAATTCAGCTTTGAGAATGCTTCTTGAGTTTATGAAGTTCTTTTCACATTCCATGAAGATATTACCATAAAAAAACACACACCATGCTCTTGAGTTTTGTGTACTAAACTTCATTGCACTTCTATTCCTGAGCATCAATAAATAAATTATATATATGTATTTTGAGCCTCTCAACAAATATTTAATTTAACATTTTTGGTATTTATCTCTTCACTGTCTTTTTATAAATAATCTAAACTTATTCAAGTAAAAGCAATTTATTTCATGCCAACATTGTTTGTCAAAATAAAAGACAGAATGAAATAAATTGGAACATTCAAATTATGATAAAAAGTAGAATTGTAGTCTAACAAAAATCAATTTTTATCTGAAGAAATATATCACAAAATAAATGCTTCACAACCTTTTTTTTTTTTTTTTTTTCAAATATCAGCATGATTTCACTACATGAAAAAGTGACGAAGATATCTGGCATTATACCAATGGTTATCATCATCCTTTATCTTTCTTTCTTTTTTTAAATACTCTTAAGACATTTTCTGTTAGGTCTTCATCAAATCCTCATCGAAACAGATTATAAAGTATCACTACAGAAGAAGAAAGAAAAAAATCTATATGTACACCCTCAAACAAGCCTAGCTAGAAATTTTATTCTTTGCGTCCACCAGGGCTTTGGTGAGGTTCCCGCTGCTGGCTCCTCCTGCTTGGCCTTCATGGGGCTTCATTTGCAGGACAGCTCCTTGCTTCCCTTGTATCTGGAAGGGAGAAGTGACAGGTCAAAGGCAGGCAGGCAGAGGGCTTGTGGTTGGGAGTTAATTGTGTATTTGTAGTAGATGGTGGTGCAGGTTGGTTTGTGGTGGTGGCATGTGGTGACAGGTAGTGGTGGGTTTTGTGAAGTGATGATGGCAGTGATGGTAGGTAGTTGGAGATGGTGTAGATGATGGTGGTAAGTATGGAAATGGTATTAATGGAGAATCAAAAAAAGAAAACACTACCATTGCCACTACCAGTATAATCACTAACAGAAGAGACAATAGCAGTGGCTAAGCTTGTTACATTAATGATACCAATGGTGACAATGGCTTTCATAATTATGGTAGCAGTGATAGTGATTATGATACCAGTATCATTAACAATAGCTATACTGATAATGATTGGGAGAGAATATGAAAATGGTAATATTGTAATTTTGATAAATATAAACCATATATAATAATAATCCAAATTATAATAAAAACAATAAACTAATAATTCTGATCAATATTGTTACTGCTTGAGTAAATGTTTAAATGTAAGTTAAATGCATAACTGACAGGGTAAATATTCAAAATCAAAATGAAGAAAACACAAAGGGAACAAATGAGAGAACATCCATATATCCACAGTGTAAAAATCAATGCTATTTACCTGCAACTGATGCTGTGTGGCATACATGCTCCTTGTCAACTCTCGCACCTTCGTGTCCAATTCCTCATTGGCAAACGCAAGGTCATTGATGCGCTGCTCTAAGCTGTTGATGAAGTCCGATTCTTCCTGCTCCTTCTTGCGTTCTTTCTCCTTTTGTCGTGCCACTTCATAGCCAAGGATGGCCACGGCAATTCCAAATATTACTCCCTCACCTAAGTTTGAATAAATTAATATATATAATATATAGTATAATAAAATGCACGCGCGCGCGCACACACACACACACACACACACACACACACACACACACACACACACACACACAAAACCTTGCCTTGCACAGGGAGAAGGGAAAAGAGAGAATGTAAGGAAATGGAGTGAGGGGGGAAGCAACAAGAAAGGAGATTATCATTTTCATTCATATCTTTTTAAAATATACAAATGTGAACACAAACAAATATGTTAAAAAAAAAAAAAAAAACACTTACCTAGCAAATTCGCCCCTAGTTCAATTGCAGCTTCCTCACTCAAACGTGGTATGGTTGACCCTTGACTGGACCGTCCAAGATTCATGACGTACATCTTCATGCGCACCTCGCACCAGTGGTAAACTACAAAAAAGGAGCAATATATAGACACAGTTCCTTAGTTGTTTAAGTGTTCTACCTTTGTAATTGTTCAAAGTTGTGGATGACTAAAAATTCTTAATACAATAGTTTCTAAATCAAATGTTACCCAACCAATACATATCTATGAAACAGTTGTGGATTTCAAAAAATGGTACATACAGCAAACATAATTCACACTGTATGCAAGGTCAGAAGTGCAAATACATATACTTTGGTTACTACATAATAAATTCCATATATTAGAGTGGTGTTTTATTTGTTTTTATGCTTTTTGGTCCCAATTCCCCCCAAGTTTACCTTAAAAAAGGAGATGGTTTGAGAAAAGCAGGATATTCATATGGCTCTTTTCACAGTAGTTTTCAATAGTAAAACATTGGAATATTTTACATTTAATATTAAAACATTGGAATATTTTTATTCTGATTACATCCTTAATCAGACTAAATCTTCCTACCACTGCTACACTAAATTAATCCTCACTAGACAGCTGGAAAAAAATCCAGACTCAGTAAGAGAGCTACAGAACTGCTATTGCTGATTTCCACTTCCACTGTAGGTACCATACAGTGAACCAAATATTTAATCTATTAGCTTTCTCAGATGATTTTTTCTACACCCCTAAGAAGCCATTTCAAAATATCCTGTGCTTCTAAATAACTACTTCAAGAACACTTGCATTAGAGAAATATTACAATTAACAGGTTTGTTTATCTGTGTGCATGCCGTACTCACTCTCACACATACACACAAAAACACACACACACACACACTAACTCACTTCCTCATCATTCTGTGGTGTGTGTGTGGGTGTGTTTATGTGTATATGCATAGGTGCATATACAAATGTTAACACATGCATATTTATCTATTTACTTTTATTTATTATCAAGGTTACCTCCTATAAAACAATGCCAGTTGTACCTTAATGATGGCTTCATACTTCTATGAGTTGTAAAGACAGCTATGACTCCTCTAACTATGCCAAACATGTAGTTTCTCCAGATAAATAACTTCAGAAGCTTTGATCATCACACAATCCATGCAGAGTACCATGCTTTAGCCTGCTTTTCTCAAAATAAAAAGAAAAAGCATACACATAAACAGATATTTTCTTAATCTTTTTCAATATTTAAGCTTACTTTGTAGAATTAGAAGCAAATTAAAACTGGAGAGCAAAATACTGAATTAAAGTCAATGACAAACAAACTCAAATATATTAAAATAAGAGACAAAAAACACAAAAAGGGAATAAAGCTAGTGGAACAGATAAATGAAAAGTATTATTTGGCAAAATATGATCCTCAGAGCTTACTACCACAATAGTCCTTTACCAACCAGGCCATAGTCCCATAGTATACTCATCCCACACCCTTAGACTGATTGGTTACAATGTTGTTGGTCATTTGCTGCAAAGTGTATGTTTAAGATTACTGTGTTGTTCTTACCCCATTCTGCTGGGAAAATGTGGAGTTCCCTGTAGTATTAAGATGTCTCTACACATAGATGGTTCCACGTGCTTTGCCACAAAGTAGTCAATTAGACCTCTTTAACCTTGCATGATTTTACCTTTTCTTGAGGTTTGGGGAAAAACGTTTGTTTTTTCTCCCTCAGCTGTCAATATTGATGTGTCATTATCATTATAGATATTACAATTATCATAATGTTAATGACATTACTAACAGCAAGATAAGATAAAAGAAAATATTTCTAAAGATCAAGGAAAAGGGTAAACAGGTGAGACAGGTAGTACTAGTACTTGTGGAGCAATCTACATATAAAGACATTCAACTCAATGCTGACAGGCATGGCTGTGAGTTTACTTGTTTAATTGTTTTTACACAAAGATGGCTACCCTTGTACTAAGTCACCAATGAGCTAATTACAAGTACTGCCTGTCTTGCCTGTTTATCCTTTTCCTTGATTTATGAAAATATTTTATGTTATCTTATTTTGCTGTTACTAATGTTTATAACATTATAGTAATTATAATTTCTATAACAAAAATAACACCATCAATATTCATAGCATTAGTAAAAAATACATTTTTCCTGCCAATTCAAGAAATGGTGAAATTAGGTAAGGTCACAAGCTCTACTAATGACTCCTTTGTGACTAAGCACTAGCAGAGCCATTTATGTGTAGAGACATTTCACAACAATATAAAAAATGAGCACAGCATTTTCCCCATTTTCTATTCATGTTCTCCAGCAGAATGTGGTTAATAAACCAAAGTCACAGAGGGTATCACATACTTACATGCTCTCTCCAGTGGCATCAGGTTTAACACACTATATGTCACTGTTTAGGTGCTGACAGCAAGTCCAAATTTTGTCTTTGCAATGTATAAAATTTTGAGAATCTAAGTTATTTCTCTACTTCAAAATACTACTGACCTCTTAACCAGAAATCTCCATAAATAGTGAAGTTTCACAAGCCCTAAAGCTATTATTAGCAAAGTATGAACTGACAGCCTTTTGCTCAGAATCAGATGACATGCATTTATTTTCATTTCCACATTTTGATATTCTATTGTACTGTACCAGTATTCCTTAGTCTTAAACTCCAGACTGTTTATACTCTCCATATGCTACAACTGATAATACTCATCATGATACTCCTCCTCATTCCAGACATGTACACCTAGCATTTTTAGTGTGACAAGGTCTCTATATCTATATATCATACATTCCCGATGTTTCTCTCTAAATCTCTTAACAAGAGATAACACGGACAGAATCATACAGTGATTAAATAAAAGTATCAGTAATAAGAACACAGTTTAAAATTAACATCAACTCAAAAGAATCTCTCTAGGATGTCATTGGAGAAATATTAGCCAATGAGTATTCTTCTCTTGACTTTTTATCAGAAGTCTAGCTTTAAAGTCTATCTTATCACCCCCTTCTTCCTTAAAGTCTAGTCTTCTAATCTTGGCTCTTTACCCTTAAAAATATTCTTTGAGTCAGAAATACATAAATTGTTTCTATGTACCTTAGTGAAATCTGAAACTACTAATCCTTTTATTTGTCAAACTTGATTCTTTCACCAGTGCTATGAAGTAGAAACTACAGAATTACACATTTTCACATAAATATTATCTAATCTTCATTCTGCTTATTGTAAACTATGTTCTAATTCAAGTACTGCATGTGAATTGGTGCACCTGCATTATATTAAACAAAGATAAAAATAAAGCTAAACAATGTGCATACTAAAAGAACGTCATCTGTGCCATAGCTCAGTAGTTTAAAATGATACAATTAAAGTAAATCTCAAATAACAGTGATTGGAAATTCACTGTATTCTAATAAACTTGTGGAGGTTTTGCCTACAACATACCACATACAGTGACCACAAATTCTGAAAAATTGGATGACCTACAATAAGCTACTATGCGAATAGGGTTGCCATAATGAAAGCAGACAAACAGCACATAATACTGAAGAAACCAAACCACAGACAGAAGACACAAAAGCATGAAATATGTGTGTGTGTGTGTGTGTGTGTGTGTGTGTGTGTGTGTGTGTGTGTGTGTGTGTATGTATATGTGTGTGTATGTATATGTGTGTGTATGTATGTATATATGTGTGTGTGTGTGTGTGTGTGTGTGTGTGTGTGTTTGTGTGTGTGTGTGTGTGTGTGTGTGTGTGTGTGTGTGTGTGTGTGTGTGTGTGTGTGTGTGTGTGTGTGTGTGTGTGTGTGTGTGTGTGTGTGTGTGTCCATGTGTGTGTATGTATATGTGTGTGTATGTATATGTGTGTGTATGTATATGTGTGTGTATGTATATGTGTGTGTATGTATATGTGTGTGTATGTATATGTGTGTGTATGTATATGTGTGTGTATGTATATGTGTGTGTATGTATATGTGTGTGTATGTATATGTGTGTGTATGTATATGTGTGTGTATGTATATGTGTGTGTATGTATATGTGTGTGTATGTATATGTGTGTGTATGTATATGTGTGTGTATGTATATGTGTGTGTATGTATATGTGTGTGTATGTATATGTGTGTGTATGTATATGTGTGTGTATGTATATGTGTGTGTATGTATATGTGTGTGTATGTATATGTGTGTGTATGTATATGTGTGTGTATGTATATGTGTGTGTATGTATATGTGTGTGTATGTATATGTGTGTGTATGTATATGTGTGTGTATGTATATGTGTGTGTATGTATATGTGTGTGTATGTATATGTGTGTGTATGTATATGTGTGTGTATGTATATGTGTGTGTATGTATATGTGTGTGTATGTATATGTGTGTGTATGTATATGTGTGTGTATGTATATGTGTGTGTATGTATATGTGTGTGTATGTATATGTGTGTGTATGTATATGTGTGTGTATGTATATGTGTGTGTATGTATATGTGTGTGTATGTATATGTGTGTGTATGTATATGTGTGTGTATGTATATGTGTGTGTATGTATATGTGTGTGTATGTATATGTGTGTGTATGTATATGTGTGTGTATGTATATGTGTGTGTATGTATATGTGTGTGTATGTATATGTGTGTGTATGTATATGTGTGTGTATGTATATGTGTGTGTATGTATATGTGTGTGTATGTATATGTGTGTGTATGTATATGTGTGTGTATGTATATGTGTGTGTATGTATATGTGTGTGTATGTATATGTGTGTGTATGTATATGTGTGTGTATGTATATGTGTGTGTATGTATATGTGTGTGTATGTATATGTGTGTGTATGTATATGTGTGTGTATGTATATGTGTGTGTATGTATATGTGTGTGTATGTATATGTGTGTGTATGTATATGTGTGTGTATGTATATGTGTGTGTATGTATATGTGTGTGTATGTATATGTGTGTGTATGTATATGTGTGTGTATGTATATGTGTGTGTATGTATATGTGTGTGTATGTATATGTGTGTGTATGTATATGTGTGTGTATGTATATGTGTGTGTATGTATATGTGTGTGTATGTATATGTGTGTGTATG